CTACATTAGACAGACGGTGAAAGGGTTTGAACAACAAAACAAGCAAAATACACTAAGGTCGCAACCTTGGAAAAACCTAAATAACACTAACAGGGGTACTACGACTAAATGAACTAAGCAAAATAAAAGGATAGAAGGGTTTGAGTCACAAGACTATATCCGGATTACAACCCTGAAATAACCCGGACAACAGAAATGACAACAAAATAAACCACCAAGACTCCTCCCCGGCTAGCCAAGAAAGGAGCGTCTTTCCAATTACCAAGCTCGGCATCTTAGCCACTGAGTTCCACATCAATATTACCAAGACCATTACCAATTTCAATATCATTAACTTCAGTCAGCAAGTTCCCAAGAGGATTCACATACTCCCTGTCACTGTCCTTGAACAATTATCCCTTCTTGAATCATTCTTTCTATTTCCCTTTTCAAAGCACGACAATCTTCAATACTATGCCCTTGGACATTAGAGTGGTACATGCACCGTACAGTAGGATCAAAACCTTTTGCATATGGCTCCGGAGTATAGCCGCGGAGCGGCTCAATCAGGCCAGAATGTTTTAACTTTTCAAACAAGTTTGTGTAGGATTCTCCGATTGGCGTGAAATTATCTTTTTGCCTTTGTTTCCCTCCATGCCTATGTTTTTTAGGGTTATAGGTGCCTCAAAATGCTGTGAAGGCGCGCGAGAATTTTGGGATGCCGGTGCTCGCCCTAGGGAGTAACCCAGTGGTTGGACAGATGGCTGGACGTTGTTCGGAGGATAATACTGGGGTGAATTATGTGGAGCTCGGGGATATTCGTGGGGTCGGTATTGAGGCTGAAAGCGTTTAGCAGGAATGCCCACTGGATCCTGTTATTGGCGGGGCTCAGCAACATCTTTTCTATCAATGGGAGGACTGTCCAGAGCAACTTGTTCGTTCCATCTGAACCAAAACTCCCCAAAACCTTCCTTGGGTTTCTTTTCCATCTGAGATAGGGAGGAGCGGTCTGGGATAATGTCTACGTTGTACTGATAGTGCCGAACAAAATCTCGAGCCAGGTCACCCCATGCATGCCACTTACTAGCGTCTTGGCGGGTGTACCACTCCAGAGCTGCCCCATTCAGACTCTGACTGAAATACGCCATCAATAATTCATCTTTCCCGCAAACACTTCTCATTTCACTGCAATAACCCCTCAGATGGGCTACTGGATCTCCACGCCCATCATATAAATTAAGCTTTGGCATTTTAGACCCTTTCTGCTTTCTGCATATCTCATCTTGCTCCACTGTCTTAGCAGGCTTTGCAGTCTCACCGGGAGGTTCAAAATGAGGAGCGTAAGAGTATGGACCCGAGACCTTGAAAATTAGTTTTGGAGCATAGTGTTAGACATCGGGGACTTTGAACACAGTCTCGCTAGAGGATCGAGGAAGAATAGCTGGTGGAGGAGCTACAAAAACATGAGTGGTCAAAGGAGCGGGATATGATGTGCTTTTGAGGGGTGGAGTGTGAAAAGGTTGTGGGGAGATCAGCACCAGTGGGAACCTGGGCTTGTGATGGTGGTGGGATAGTTGCAGGGTTTTCAGTGTAGTTATTGGGGAATGAAGGTGGAGGATGCCCCCTGATCCAAGACTGATACATTTCTGCCATCTGCTGCTTCAACCTTTGGACATCCTCTTTCAATCCAGACTCCGACTCAAAAATCTCCTTAGACGGATTAATAAAACCCATGTCCAAGTCTTTGCTAGCCATGGCTACCTTGCTCATTGACCTTGTGTTGTATGGATGAGTTACCTTAAGAACCACAAACCAACCACCCTTCTGCTTAATGAAGATAACAAAAAGGAACAAAATGAGGTCATCACGTTAGCGTTAGGGCATTTTTCAGCTAAAATATCACATTGCGTGCAATGCACCTAGCAACAATTAACGGTTCAAGAATGACTTCGAGGGTCACAAGGTCACTTGGCATCATCCCAATTTGTTCATTTCAACCTTCTCTTTTCTTTGCTTTTCTAGCATTTGCTCGCTCATTTTCCATCCTCTTATTTTCTTTTTTTATCGCTCTTTTCTTTCCTCTCATTTCTCACATCCCATAATTTCATTCTCTTTTTTTTCCAAAAACAATTCGATTGAATCCTATGTAGGTTGCCTACGTATCATGACACCGCATGAATCAGATCTTTGCGTAGTTCGGGAAGATCGGGAATAAAGTAAACAAACTAACGTTCTCTTTTTTTTACCTTAATGACTATTCTGATGAGAAAAGAGAAATAAAAGAAGCAAATCCTTTTTTTTTTAATTTTCTAGACTTAATGTTAAGCTTAAACGAGCATATACCTTTTCTTTTTTGAAACAGATACTCTATGAGAAATTATTAAGGAAAAAAAATCATAAAAAAAACAAATATTTCTTGATTTCTTTTATAGGAAGGAAACCTAAAGAATAAACTAAAGAAAAATATTTAGAATTTTCATTTGATATCCTAAAGAAAAGTTTCGAAAGGAGAAATGAGACAAGAAAGAAAAAAATATATTTTTGGATTTTGATTTTTGATTACCTAAGGGAGGAACGCTAAGGATAAACAAAAGACAAAGTATGTTTTTTCTCTTCTATATATAATGTCCTAAAGTTCTAGTGAAAATAAAAAGAATATTTTTGATGTTTTTTAATTAATTTCCCAAAGAAGAACCTAAAAAGAAAATCTTTTTTTTATTTATTTTTGGAATTAATATCTTAAGAAAACTTCTAAAGAGGTATCAAAAGAAAATTCTTTTTATTGTTTGAATTTTTAGTCTTAATATACTAAAGGAAATATAAAAGCAATTGATTTTTTGAGTTCTAGATATTAATTTCCTAAAGGAAAACCACCTCAAAAGATTTTTTTTTTTTAATTTCTAGAATTAGTATTCTTAAGAAAACTTCTAACGGAAATATAAAAACGCGAAATCTCTTTTTATTTTTTGAATTTTTGATTTATAACACATTTTTTCAAATACAGAATAGGAATTACAATCTATGAAAGACTCTAATTACTGTACAAAACTAGAAGGTGAAAGACGACACAAAAAGAAAAACAGACTCAAAACTTAAAAAAAAAATAATCTCCTTAAGCAACTCCTGAATGAGCGATCCTGACTGGATGGTCCTGGGGCATCTGACATGCTCAAACTCCGGTAAGTAGATCCACACCTGTATGAGAAAATTAAGACCACATAAAGTTAAAGACTTAAAACACTATGTGAGACAATAAAACTTTCTATCGGACACATGCAAGATATGATTGAGGCTATTTTTGAAAAATGGCTTATGTGGCCAAAAGGTGGCTAGAAGTGCAAGATTTGGCTAAGACCCCGCTAAGCCAAGAACCTAAGACTCACTAGGAAGACCGGGCCTATGTGGGTTGCCTACGTATCCCGCCACGAAAGACGAGAATCAGGTATGCGTAGTTCGGGCAGATTGGATACGGTCGAGAATTAAAAAAAAAACTAATTTAGAGAAAATATATTTTTTGTCTTTTTTTTTGAAAAATAATGGGAAAGTGCAAAATCTTTTTGGATTTTTCAATTTTTTTGTCTTTTTTTTTGTCTGTTTCATAAAAAAAATGTGAAAGAAAAACATAACTGGGCCCTACTTGCTTTATTTTCACACTTCACCCTCTTTTCTTTCTCATTTACCCTCAACCATCATTGGTCCGCCAAATGACCCTTACCCTTGAAGAAATGCAACATGTAGCACATAGGATGCATCAGGATGGTCTTTTATTTTTGGGTACACCTGTCCTAGACGGACCCAACCCCTGTGTTGAGTCCGCTAAGTGAAATGCACGTGATGCAAACCAACGTTCCTACTAGGGATCCGGCATTAGGTTAAGTTATTCTAAGTTTAAACCTGGGGTTGTGTTCTAGACCTGGCTCACCCGAGCGGACAGCTCGAGCCGAGGTGGGGGCAACTTACCGGGAGCACGAAAGTCTACCCGGCCTTGTTATTGACCCAAGCCCCGTTCTAATTGGTATGACTTCTAACAGAAAGTGGGCCACGCGTACGTGTGCACCATATTTAGAAGACTCAGAAGGGTGGCGTAAGAAGGCATTTTAATATAACTCAAATAATATCGAAATGGTAAATAAACAACAATTAGCACATTAGGTTCACAAAATACAGTAATATTAACAATAAATAAAGCCAAGTAAAAATTATATTAAAAAGCTCGAATTCTTGAACCCTGAACCAGAGATTCTGGGTTCGCATCCCCAGCAGAGACGCCAGAGCTGTCACACCTCATTTTTCTACCCGAAAGGGTATAGGGGAGTTTTTCCAATTAAAGTGACAATAATCGAAACGGGATTATTTATTCAAATTCAGAGTCGCCACTTGGGATAATTATGGTGTCTCAAGTCACCGGTTTAAAATCCCGAATCGAGGAAGTTTGACTCTGTTTTACAGTCTGCGAAACACAGAAATCCGGGTAAGGAATTCTGTTAACCCGGGAGAAGGTGTTAGGCATTTCCGAGTTCCGTGGTTTTAGCACGATCGCTTTAATCATACTTGGCTTACTTAAATTGTCTAATTACTTATTTTTTAAACCTATGTGCATTTATCTCTTTTAATTAGGAAATTATCTTATAACGAGTCACGCGACCGTGTACTCATTTTGTTTGGTGCGTCAAAAATCATGTCACGCGTACGTGTCCACAATTAATAACACTTTATTATTATTAAGAAACTTTAGTCGAAGTTGCGCGAACGCATACTACAATTTTGTTTTTAAGATCGTAATTATGTCACGCGAACGTGTACACAACCACGATGGTATATTAAACGTGCCTATACAAGCTACGAATATTCATTTAGAAACCATAATTATGTCACACAAACATGTACATAATCACGGTAATAAATTCAAAACGCGCCTAAAGCAAACTACGAATATTCGTGGTTTTTAACGGCCTAAGTATGCTCCTAACAATCGAATTACTAAATTAGAACCAAACAAAATGGCCATTAAGTCCAATCCACAATATAAAAGCAGAGGCCAAATCTGATTTATAAGAAAATTATCCCCATGTCATCGGGCTATTCACACTCAATTTGCTATCAATTACAAAGAGGAGCTATCACACAAACAGAATCTCAATGGCATTGAACCCCTAATAACAAACAGACTATTCAACATAAAATGGCCAATACTACCAACATTCAGAACAAATGAAGCTCCATATTGGTCGTGTATCAAATGCCAAAAACATGAAACAAGTTGATTTCGATCATCAAAGCTTAAGACAAGCTAATTTATCCTTCTTTATAAAAACACGAACGTCATTATACAGCAAATCTCGTGCAGACTGTAGCTTTTACACACACCCCAATAGGATTCAAGAGAGAACGACAACAAAAGGACCCAAATATTAGCACTAGATTGCAATGCAAAGATAGAAACTGCAGTAGTAGAAATAATTGAGAATCAATTCAGCATCCATTGTATGCACAAGCTTGAACAAAAATAGCAAAATCGTAGCTTAAAAAAAGGAATATTTACCTCGTTATCATCAGTGACCTTGAGAACCGATTTACCATCAGAATGTTTGAAATTTCTTTCGATTAAATCTATTTGGAAACGATTACAAGCAGAAGAAGATTCGGCGACACACTTGAGAAGAAAACAGTTGCAGAAATCCGAGCTCCAACAAGAACGGCGACCGGAACCTCAATTGGAATCGACGGACTGAACTTTACTGGAAAACCATATTAATTAATGAAATCCCCATGAAATATGGAAATCCTCATTTATTTCTATATTTGTTTTCTGTTTTTGAAGGGTTTTTGTTTCCAAATCCAGAATTCAAGTTTTGAATCCAGAAGTTTGTTTCGACCCTCTTTGGCAGTGAGTGAAGGCGAGTCTTGGACTGAAAATTGCCGAAAAATATACAAGTTACCAGAAATATTGGATCCAACCGGATTTGATTTGGGATTGGAGTTCAGGTGATGTCCATGGCTGGTTTAAGGTTTTTGGAGCTGATTTCGACTGCAAATTTAGGCTATTTTTTGACTGGTTCCTCGGCTGGATTCCAGCTGGTTTCGAGGGAGGTTGGGGTGGTGTGAGGCTTTAGGTTGCTGGGTTTTGGGTGGGATCGTTGCTGATGATTTTTGGGTTGTGTATTGTGTGCTGAAGATAATGAAGTTCAGGTGGGTCGTGTGTGTTGTGTTGAATGGCTGAAGCTTCAGAATGTTAGAGATGATAGCCTCGGGTCTTTTTTTATCAGAAACGGCTGCCTTTCTTTGTCTAGGTCTAGGGTTGTTAGGTTTGGGCTTTTGGGTTAATGTGCTAAGATGACTTTTGGGTTTTGGGTTGGGTCTATGTATTATTGGATTGAAATTGAGCTAAAACTTAAAATTCATAAAATATAGACCCAAATCCAATTCTTCTTGTACAATAGTATAAAACAGCTATAAAAATGTAAAATCACTCCTAATTAATTGAAATAAACTATTAAAGATAAACCTAAAATGAAATTGTTTTTGGTATTTTTCAAGATTATGTAAAAATAAAAACTCTAGTAAAATAGTATGACTACAAAACATTAATGAAACTAATTTTTTTTTTGTAATTTTCATTTTTTTGGTGATAAAATACAGTAAAAGAGTCAAAACTAGTTAAAATAGCTATATTAGACCTAAACTAACTATTTACGCTAAAAATGTGTAAAATTTTGGGTAGGGTCAAAAATTACATGTCTACAGCCGCTAGTCGTCCACTAAGGGAAGGGAGTATGCACTCTCAGTTGTGTGTTGCAGTTAGATTATTAAGTATCAAATCAGATACCATTATTTCTCAAGCGAGAATGGATTCTTTCATTGGCCTTATGAGTGAACTAGTTGACCCAACTTTCAATATACCCGAAGATTTCTATAAGTCTAAAATATTGGTTTCTAAGTTAGGACTCTCATCTACGAGAATCGATTGTTGTGAAGACGGTTGCATGTTGTATTATAAGGGTGATGTAGATTTAGAAAGTTGTAAATTTTGTGAAAAACCTCGTTTTAAGCAGGTTTCCAGCGGGAAGAATGTTGCTGTGAAATCGATGCATTATTTACCTCTTATTCTTAGATTAAAGAGGTTGTACGCATCGAGAGTTCCGCTCCTCATATGAAAATGGCACTATGAAAGTAAAAGTTTGCATGGTGTTATGTGTCACCCTTCAGATGGGGAAGCTTGGAAGCATTTTGATAGGACGTATCCGGATTATGCTAGTGAACCGAGGAATGTTCAGTTGGGTCTGTGTGCTGATGGCTTCACGCCATTTTCTGTTTCTGCAACACCATATTCATGTTGCCGATCTTTATTACGCCGTATAATCTTCCGCGTGAAATGTATATGACTAGTCCATATATTTTTTTAAAATTGTGTTATTCCCGGTCCCCACAATCCAAAGAGTTTGATTGATGTATATTTGCAACCTCTGATTGATGAGCTAAAACAGTTGTAGTATGATGGAGTTGAGACATATGAATATCAACTAAGAAAAATTTCAACTTGCGAGCTAACTTAATGTGGACCATTAATGATTTTCCTATGTATGGAATGTTGTCTGGGTGGATGGCTGCTGGAAAGTTAGCATGTCCTTACTGCATGGAAAATGGTAAAATGTTCACTTTAAGACATGGCCGAAAGCATAAATGGTTTGATTGTCATTGTCAGTTCTTGCCAGTTGATCATGAGTTCAGAAGGATGAAGAACGCATTCAAAAAGAATACAGTTGAACATGATTTCCACCTCCAATTTTGTCCGATGAGGAAATTTGGGAGAGGGTTTAGAACTTCACTAAAGTTACCGAGGCCCCACCTTCTAGATTCCTAGATATGGTGTTACTCATAACTGGACAAAACAAAGCATATTTTGGGAGTTGCCATATTGGAAGGATAATCTTCTCCGATACAATCTTGATTTCATGTATATTGAGAAGAACTATTTTGACAATTTGTTCAACACAGTAATGGATGATAAGAAAAAGACAAAAGATAACCCGAAGGCTAGACTGGACTTACAGGAATATTGCAGGCGACCTGAATTACATTTGCAGTCTGCGAACAATGGTAAGGTGTTCAAGCCCAAGGATAGCTACACATTCACTTTGGAACAAAGACGATAGATTTGTGAGTGGGTTACAAACCTAATGAAGCCCGAGGGCTATGCTTCGAACCTGGGAAAACGTGCTGATATGGTTGACTCATATGAAAAGTCATGGCTGTCATATCTTCATGGAAACATTAATCCCTATTGCATTTTATGGTTTGCCTGAAAATATATGGAAACCCATCACAGAGATAAGGTTGTTCCTCAAGGACTTATGTTCTACCACATCAAGAGAAGAAAACCTATTTCAAATGAATCGGAACATTCTTGTAATCAATAATAAGATGGAAAGGATTTTTCCATGTGGTTTCTTTGATGTGATGGAACACCTTCCAATTCATCTTGTACACGAGGCGCGACTTGGAGGGCCAGTTCAAAGCAGGTGGATGTATCCATTCGAGAAGTAATGATCAAACCTTGATTTATTCTTGTAATTTTCTTTAACGTTATCGTCTAATATGACAATGTGCAGGACTATCGGTAGGTGTAAATGATTTGTTAAACAGAGGAATAAGATTGAAGGATCCATATGCGAAGCCCATCTTGCAAAGGAAACTGTCAGTTTTTGTTCTTACTACTACGACAATCATGTGTCATGTGCTAGAAATAGGCCCAATCGGCACAATGTCGTGATTGAGATTGATCCATTATATCCACATATTTCCATATTCAATCAACCAGGCCGAGGTTCTAAAGATCGAACAAAAAGGGGCCTAAGTAGTATGGAGTACAAATCAACTTCAAATCATGTGTTGCTAAATTGTTCGAAAGTTTAACCGTCTCTTAAGTAAGAGTTGACGTAAGATTAATTTACATGGAATATTATTTAATTTGGTTGATGCAACTAACAAATAATTTTCAATGTGTCGCGCAGTGACTTCGTGAGTCAATTTGGCCATGATGCTGTATATTCTACATTTGAGGCATGGTTTAAAGAGTGTGTAAGTGCATCTTACATACTTTCTCATATGTGAATATACATACTTGGTCACTTGTGAATATACTTGCTTATTTGTGATTTTTTTAATACTATATGTAGGCCAATAATCCAAAAAATGGTGTTAATCAATTTTTGAAAGACATATATTTGGGACTTGCACCTATGGTTACAACTATGTCTAAGTATTGTGTGAATGGTTACAACTTTCAAACTGAGGAATGCTCCAAGTATAAAAGTGGGGTGTGTGTCAAAGGTGGTGAAGGCAACCAGGATAGGGAAAATGATCATTATTCTGCGATCAAAGAGATTCAAAAATTGTCATATTCAGGTTGGCCAAATAAGAAGATCATACTTTTCCGATGCTAGTGGTTTGACCCAAGACCTAGAAGAGGTACAAATGTACACTCGCAGTACAACATAATTGAGGTTAATAAAAAAGAGGAAGTATGATCGCTATGATCTTTATATAATTGCAGAAAAAGTTAGGCAAGTGTATTATGCTCCATATCCATTATGGAGGGATAAGGTTGATTGGTTGGTTGTAATCAAAACTAAGCCTGTTGGTAGGGTGAAAGTTGAGAATGTGCTAGATGTTGCTTACCAAAACGATACCTCAAGTGTTAACCAAATGGTGGATGATCAATTAGAAAATGACTTGGTGCATCCTCAACGCATATTAGAAGAAGTAGATATGGAGGAAATAACTATCATAGAAAATGAGGATGAAGAATCACCTAATGAAAATGAAATAAGTGAAGAGGAAGAATTTTAAGACGAGGAAGGATACTTCGAAGACGACTAGCATGTTAGTTTTTTCATGCGCTCTTAACTTATATAGATTTATATTCTCAATTCTAACATTTTCTTGAATTTATGCTAATGACCGGTAGGGGTCAAGGTAGGTGTAGGAAGGATAAAGGCCTATTGATCATGATGATGGTGCTACACCCTCGCTTCCTTCCACTCCACACTTGCATCCCTCCGCTAATGATGGCCGACAGCAATCTTCTAGGCACACATCTATTCCACCACATCCATCTACTCATCAGACTACCTACCATTCGCCCTCCCAGCAGTATTCTTACCATTCTCCGCCACAGGGCTATACCCCGCTTCCTCCATATGATCCTACATGTAGTTACATGGGTCTATCCATTCAGCAGTCACAGGGCCATGTGGTGATACGCCCGTCATGTGCTCCATTTTCTTCATCACCAGCTGGATTGCATCAATCTAGATTTCAGCCAGACGGATTGCAGCAGTGGTCTGGATGGTAGAGGGGTCTAGATCGTTGCAGCGGTGTGGATCGCAGCCATCTTCATCAGCGACCCCATCTCCCTCTCCACGGAGTTCGTCTCCTAGCATTTCTAGACTTCACCTTTGGGATAGTAGCATTGAGCCAGATGCCTCCCCTTCTACGCACGCTTCAAATTCATCGGAGGAAGATGATCCAGAGGAAGTGCGGTATGATCATTATCATAGGATGATCATCAGGCCTGAGGGCAATGGGTAAGATTTATTTATTACTTCTTTATTTTTGCTGAATTATAATAGCTATTCTTGTTTATTTAATGTAATTTCTATGTTGTAGGTTCATACCTAATCATCGGACTACAAAGATAATTACTGAATCTCTTGGCCCGTTGTATAATGCACCCTATGCCACTTGGAGTGACTTTCCACCGGAGCTCGTCCAGCAAATTTTCAACCAATTTAAGGTTTTAATACAATTCTTATCTATTTAAGCATTATATTAATAATATTTTCATCTAACGTTACACACTCCATCTGATACCTTCTGCTCTGCTCAAAAGAAGAGCAAGAAGCCTTCATGGTTTCTACCACATTAAAGGGGGAATCTGCTAAGGCAGTGGACCACCGAGAAATTCGAGAAGAAGAGTGAACAGGGAAAGAAGGTTCGAGCATCTGAGAGGGTGGCTCCTTACACTGTGTGGGTGCAAAGAGCATGGGGACTACGAGGAGACTACTGGTAATTCCTTAAAATATTTACATCTATTTTTATCGAACTATATTTATATATTTTAATTTAGTTAACATATTTTATTATATTAGTAGGAAAAAAATATGGGAGGAAGATGACTCATGATGAGTTCTTCATGGAGACTCACATCCGAAAGAAGAAGGCACCGACAGATCCAACTAGATGGGTCGAGGACCGGGTGGAGACTGCATATGTAAGTTTTATAACTACTATAACTTGAAATTAATGTTTATAATATTATATAGTTAATAATTTTATATCTTCTAAATAATGGGCCGTTACAAGATTAATGTGGAAGAGTACACTCGGAGCTTGCCACCGAATTAGGAAGGCGAGCGACCACCCTTTTCAGATGAAGAAGCGCAGAGGATATGGTTGGATGTTGTCGGTGGTCCTAATAAGGGGATAGCATACGGCCTTCCAGAGAGATCATTTTGGTGCTATAAGGCTAGATTGCAAGGAATAGGGACTTCCGCCTAAGGCGAGGCAATTGATAAGTCGGCTATCTCGTCTATGGAAAAGAAGATCGCAAAACTGATAGTAGAGCTTGAAGAGACAAACGCTAGAGAACAAAAGAGAGATGAACAATTTGGTAACCTTCAAGTTCAGCTAGAAAATAGGGACCAACAATTTAATCTCCTTCAAGGTCAGCTGGCCAATCTTTTTGCTAGTGGTACTTTTCCCATTCCCTGATCTCGTGAGCCTTCCCCATATGCTAATCCTTCTCGTCGTGATCCTTCGAACCATGCCGACGATGAAGCTTCTAGTAGTGAAGATGGAGATGATACGATAAAAACACTCATTGAATGGTGTGTATTGCTAACGAAGTCTTGAACTTGTGAATATTTAGTTGGGAATAGTTTTGAATAATGATTGTATTGTTGATGTTATTTTGTTATTGAACATTTGTATAGTTGTTGTTGTGATTGGCGTTGTTGTTGTGGTTGTTATTAGCGTCGTTGTTGGTTAATTGTTGTTGTTGTGGTTGTTGTTGGTTAATTGTTGTTTTTGTTGGTTAATTATGGTTGAATGGCAGCAATGTAATGCTGCCATTATAGGATGGATAATGGTTGTAATTGGCAGGTGGTGTAGCTTAAAAGCAGGCACATTCTGCCCGATTTTTACACAGAAAACCGATCGAAGTCAGTCGGAAATCTCATATTTTTTCCCCAGAAATTCAAAATTTCCGACCAAGTTCGGTCGGAAATTTCAAATGAAATCTGCAGAATCTTGAAATTTCCGGACGAAGTCGGTTAGAAATGTATTTTTAAATTTATTTGTTTTTTAGTACACCGACCGAATCGGTCGGTTTATTATAATTTACAAAAAATTATAAAATTATTATATATTTAAAATTTCGACCGATGTCGGTCGCTATTTGAAAAAATAAATAAAAAATTAATTGATACCCACTGATTTCAGTCGGTATATTTATCTTTGTTGTCAGTCAACGCATTGAAATAACCGACCGACTTCGATCGAAAAATAGCGATCGATTTCGGTCGGAAAATTGCGACCGATTTCAGTCGCAACACTTTAGCGACCATTATTTTTCCGACTAACTAAAAGCGGTCGGAAATCGGTCGCTTTTCCTCAAATTCCGACCAATGTCAGTCGGTTTTAATGGATGAAATTAGGCAGTTTTCTAGTAGTGATTTCTTCTTACTTTATAGTATTCATAATATAGTCCTTTAAAGCTTGAAAAATCTTGTTTAGGGAAAAAATTTATTGTTTATATATTTATATACGCTCTTTTATAATAGAGATTGTTTGTTTTTTTAAAAATTATTAAATTATTATTTTTTTTGTATATTTTTCTTTATTGTTGTTAGCTTTCAAATGATACTTGGTTATTTACTATCTCTACTAGGCACTACCATATGCAGAGCAGAGGGAGATTTTGGGGGTGGGGGGGGGGGGGGGGAGTTCACCCGAATTTCTTTTGTCGTAAAACTACATAAGGCAAAATTTATTTTGTACCTGTATATATTATAATTTGAATCCCCTTGATATAACCCACAAGCATAAGTCAATCGCTAAGGGAGTTCCAAAACTTTTGTAAGGTTGTTGATTCATTTCCTACCGGTTGTAAATAGCTTTTTGAACTCCTTAGCGAGAATCCTGTATCCGCCGCAAATGGAGAGTCACTATATTCATGCCAAAAGATGCATGCTTAAGCTATAGCATTCGTTATCCACGAGTTTCTATCTTTCACTATATTCCTAACTTGCAACATCAATCAATCTCAGTATATGTGTCTTGCCAACTTTCCACTTCACCATCACATGAATGTCCATATTACAGTACTATTTGCTGAATAGACATCTCTCCAATATTTCTTACCGCCCATAACAAAAATACTAAAGTGGAATTTATACTAATCTTAATCTTATCAATGTAAAGTGGAATTCATACTAATCCTAATTTCATCCAACAAAATAGATCAACACATGATTTGACATAATATTAATTTAAATACAATTTTAAGGGGTTGTTTGGTGTGAAGATAAGTTATGTTGAGATTATTTATGTTAGATTAATTATATTAGAATTAGTTATACTGGGATTAGTTATTTTGATATTATTTCTTATTGATTGTTTTATATGTTGTATTAATCTTTGAATTGTTAATTTTACTGCTTTATCCTGGGATTATTATTCCACCATCTGGCAGGTATAACTTATACTTGTACTATTTTAATCCTGAGATAATTTATCCCGGGATAGTAACTAAAAAAATGGATAAGGCGATACCAAATTTAATATTTTATGACAAGTAATCAAAGACTGTTGCTCGGACATGTTGTTGCACTTATCAAATCCTCATAATATACTACTTTTGGAGAATTCGACACACACCATTGCCATTTTTAAAATGTCCGAGTGGTTGCTTGTCATAGAATATTAGGAAGAATCCCTTTCTAACAACATTTGCATGTAGAGGAAATATGTTTGTATGACAGAAGTCGTCTTTAACATGAAAAATATTTTCATGAAAATTATTTTCGGAGAAAGTATTTTCGTTGAAGAATATTTTTTTGCTGCTTGTGTTTTGAGTAGAATTCATACTAAACCTAATTTCATCCAACAAAATAGATCAAGACATGATTTGGCATAATATTAATATAAAATACAAATCTAAGGGGTCCTTTGGTTTGAAAACAAGTTATGTTGCGATTAGTTATATTGGGTTTAATTATCCTAATATTATTTCTTATTGACCGTTTGGTATGTTGTATTAATACTGCGATTGTCAATTTTACTGCTTTATCTTGGGATTATTATTCTATCCTCTCGCAAGTTTAACTTATACCGGTACTATTTTAAATCTGAAATAACTTATTCCAGAATTAGTAATCAAACAAAGGATAAGGCGATACTAAATTTTTATCCCATAACTATTTTTTCTTATCAATCATACCAAATAATCCCCAAGAGATCAACAAAAAAAATTCACGTTAAGTAATTTTTTTTTCTGTATCGTTCTAATTTTATCAGATGTCAACGACAAGACAATTTAGCGTCAGATTAAAATCCCTTTGGAAAATATAACTAACAAAATTTTCTTTCAAATTATCCCTTCACATTCACTCCCTCCCCGTTAACCTCGCTATACCACTACCATGTAACTTTCTTTATGTATATGTAGTGTATATTGTGTATATAATTCATATACATAATATGTGAACCATCACTAAGAGCTCTATATATTTTTTTCCTGCTAAATTCTATCCCACTATCAAAAAAATAGAAAAAGTAAAAATAAAAAAGCTCAAAAAGTTTTCTATATTGACTTCTTGATCATATGTTTTCTTTTCCTTTCCTACCTTTTAACTAACTTTTATTGTTTGTTAATTCATATTTTGTATGCTGCTTTTTTGTGTCTGTTGAGTTTATACCATATTGTTTTAGAAGAAGGATTTTGAGGTTTTAAGAAAATATGGGGATATTTTTAATTATGGGATTTGGGCTATTTTGCCTCTTGGCTATGGTTACAGAGGCAGAATACATGAAATATAAGGATCCAAAACAGAAATTAGGTGTTAGAATTAAAGATTTGATGAAAAGAATGACACTTGAGGAGAAAATTGGCCAGATGACTCAAATTGAGAGGAAAGTTGCCTCAGCTGATGTTATGAAGAAATATTTCATTGGTATGTTTATGATTTTTTTGTTTTTTTAGTTTTTAAGATTGAATTGGCCATTCTTGAATTATTTCTTGTAGATAATTGATGTTAAAACCTTGTGCATTGTATGTTTGAGAATAGCCACATTTGCTCATAGTATGTGTCTTTGGTCTATGTTGCTCGGACTCTCCGAAAATGCAGTTGCATCCGTGTTAGATCCATTTGGAGGATTCGACATATGCACCCAGTCGGCATTTTCAAAGAGTCTGAGCAACATTATCTTTGGTTACTTGTCATAGAATATTTGAAAGAAACCCTTTCTAATAACAACAACAACATATCCAATATATTTCCGCGTGTGGGGTCTGGGGTGGGTAGTGCGTACACAGACCTTATCCCTACCTTATGCAAGTAGAGAGACTATTTCCGAGAGACGACCCTCGGCTCAGGCAAGTAGAGTCACAGCAGTAAAGAAATCCCTCTCTAACAACATTTGGATTTAGAGGGAATAAGGGAGAGGGAGGAGGGTGACTTGTTTGAATATGTTTGGTATGATAGAAATTGTCTTTCTCACGGAAAATGTTTCTTGAAAATTTGTTTTTCGGAGAAAATATTTTCAGTCAAGAATGTTTTTTGGTGCTTATGTGGTGAGCGAAAATATTTTTCTTGAAAAAAATATAAGGTATAGGAGAATGGCAGGAAGTTAAAAGTTAAGATAGTCGTAAGGAAAATAACTTCTAATGATAAGTAAGAGAATTCATTTTTCATCTTCGATTATTCTTTTTTGGCAGGGAGCTTATTGAGTGGTGGAGGAAGTGTGCCAAAACCTAATGCCTCCGCGGAGGATTGGGTGAATATGGTAAATGAGTTTCAAAAGGGTGCTCTTAAGACTCGCCTTGGTATTCCCATGATTTATGGCATTGATGCAGTTCATGGCCATAATAATGTGTACAAAGCTACAATCTTTCCTCACAATGTTGGACTTGGTGTCACCAGGCAAGTATCTATATACATTTTAAGTCAACAACAACCCAGTGAGTTCCCACAAGTGGGGTTTGGGGAGAGTAGAGTGTACGCAGACCTTACCCCTACCCCGGAGAGTAGGGAGGTTGTTTCCGAAAGACCCTCGGCTCAAGAAGAAAATATATATTTTAAGTCATTCTTTGAAATTCAGGCGCTTTTCTGTGTTATACATGTGTTTGTTACTATCTGAAGATATTGTAGTGAGCCGTGTTGTCCGAGCTCTTTTGTTGAATTAGACTATAAGGGTGCATACAATAGACCCTTGTAGTCCGGTCATTCCCTGGACCCTTAGTGCACCGGGCTGCTCTTAAGACTATAAAGATGCCTAATAGCCGATTCCTTCTGGTTAAAACTTATGATCAAGCAATTATCTTAGGCATTTGAGTTCAAAGATTTTGCTTGTTTTAATACAGGGATCCTGATCTTGTGAAGCGAATCGGGGCTGCAACTGCACTTGAAGTCAGAGCCACAGGAATACAATATGCTTTTTCTCCCTGCCTTGCAGTAAGTTGATGTTATTAACACTTCTAGCACATTAGGCATCTTTATTTGTTTGATATACTAATATATGTTCTGTTAATGTAGATATGTAGAAACCCGAGGTGGGGCCGTTGTTATGAAAGCTACAGCGAAGATGTTAATATCGTGCGAAGCATGACAGAGATCATTCCTGGTTTACAAGGAGATGTGCCGGCTAACATGAGCAAGGGTGTTCCTTTTGTCGATGGAAAGTATGATTCTTTTATCCCTTTTCAGATCTTTATTACTTCCTTTTCGTTCAATGAACTATACAACGTCCGAATCATCTGAATAAAATCTGACTAATATCTTTCACTAGCATAAAAAGGGATAAATGGATGTTAATATGGCATGTCAGAGATAATGATCTAAGAATAAATGCTGTCGATTCACCACATATGGTTGCACTGAACTTATAATCTGGTTCAAGAGAATGTCTTTTTGGTATTAGAATCTCCATTCCTTTATTATGGTGAATTGAACTATTAATTGATTGTACAGGAAAAAGGTTGTGGCCTGTGCTAAGCACTTTGTAGCGGATGGTGGAACGGTGAATGGAATCGATGAAAATAATACAATAACCGACGCGCAAGGATTATTTAGCATTCACATGCCAGCATATTATGATTCAGTCATAAAAGGTGTTGCCACAGTGATGGCATCTTACTCGAGCTTGAACGGCGAAAGGATGCATGCCAACACACACCTACTCACTGGCTTCCTAAAAGAGAGGCTGAACTTCAGGGTAAGAATAATTAGCTCACGGATTTAACTTATATACGCTGACAACAGTGGCAGAACAACCTGCCTTATATTTCAAGTTACTAAATTTCTACTTTTTGGAAGGTTAACTGTAGCTATCCTTTAGGTGACTTGATAGTGTAAAAATTTCTTACACTGTCAGTGCATGTATGGTTTGACATTCAGTTGGTTAAGGTTGATGGCGTATGTATCCAAAGTAAATAACTACCTATTTTGGCCCGTATATTTCGGGGCTTTGTCATTTCAGATTGGGAAGGTATTAACCGAATTACTAACCCCGCGAACTCTAACTACACATATTCAGTTCAAGCAAGTGTTATGGCAGGAGTTGACATGGTTAGTACACTAAATTTCTTCATCGTTCTTTTGGACAATACAAAAATGATGATGGTTTTTATATGTTATTACAATTTTAGTTGCTCATACTGAATGATTTGTGTATTCACAGATTATGGTACCAGAGAACTACACAGATTTTATCGGCAACTTGACTTTCCTAGTGAAAAACAATTTCGTTCCGATGAGCAGAATTGACGATGCAGTGAAGAGGATATTAAGGGTTAAGTTTGTTATGGGACTGTTTGAGGATCCAATGGGAGATCTTAGCATGGCAAAATATTTGGGTTGCCAGGTGCAATTGCTGATGTGCTATAACCAAAAATGTTTCAAGATGAATTTTTTTGCGTTAGATTTAACGTGCTTCGATATGTTTATGCAGGAGCATAGAGAATTGGCAAGGGAAGCAGTTAGGAAATCACTTGTGCTTTTGAAGAACGGAAAAAACCCTGATCAACCTTTACTTCCCCTTCCGAAGAAAGCGCGAAGGATACTTGTTGCGGGAACTCATGCAGACAATTTAGGATATCAGTGTGGAGGCTGGACAATTCAATGGCAGGGTGTTCCTGGAAATAATCTTACAATCGGTATGTTTTGTCCTATTCTGTCGTTTCGACTAGAGTTTCTGCAGCAAAACTTGATGTACCGATTCTTGACACATTTCTTCTGATCCTTCCAGAGAAAAAGATTCATTCTCTTCACAAAAATTATAGCCAATAGAGATCTCTTTTTCAGTTAATCCCTGGCCTCATTCAAGAATCGCTTTTGATCCATTCCGTAGGATATCGATAGAAAAGGCAAATCTTTTATGATACACCAAATCCGGCTTGGTTATTGATAGAATGAATAGTTCTAACCATCTTTTGAAATCCCTCTTCTAATTCAAAATCATAGTATAACGTGTATCGTACTAGATATGTAAGCAAATCCATGTTACCTGGATTAGATGCACCATCTCTACTGTCTGCTTGCCATTTTTGGTCAAATTTGGCAACAAATCTATGTTTTCATTTAACAATAAGCTTGGATAGTGAACTTATTTTTGTTGGTTATATAATCCTCTTGACGGGGAGCCTCTGCGTAACTAGTAAAGTTGCTGCCATTTGACCAGGAGGTCACGGATTCGAGCCGTGGAAACAGTCTCTTGCAGAAATGCAGGATAAGGCGGCATACAATAGACCCTTGTGGTCCGACCCTTCCCCGGACCCCGTGCATAGCGGTAGCTTATTGCACCAGACTACCTTTTTTTAATCCCCTTGACATGAAGAAAAATTCAAGTATAGTAAGTAGTAAAGGATGTTCAGAATTGCTTTAGGTCATAGGTTCAAATTCCAATTGTGATATCCTAGACTTTTTTTTTGAATCCCCTCATATAAATTTCTAGTTCCGCTACTGATTAGAGCTGAAGAGTTCTCTTTGCAGCACGAGTAAAATCAGGCTAATACATCTTTAAATGTTACAGGAACTACCATTTCAAAGGCTATCATGAATACTGTTGATCCTTCAACAGAAGTAGTATACCAGCAGAATCCTGTCCTAGTCGAATCCAGCCAATTCGACTATGCTATCGTAGTAGTTGGCGAGCCTCCATATGCTGAGATGTATGGTGATAGCTCAAATCTCACTATACTTGATCCTGGTCCTAGCATTATCAACTACATTTGTGGCACTGTCAAGTGTGTTGTAGTCGTTATCTCTGGCCGTCCTGTTGTGATCGAACCATACGTTGAAAAAATGGACGCGCTCGTGGCTGCATGGCTTCCAGGGACAGAAGGACAAGGTGTTGCTGATGTTTTGTTTGGTGACTATGGATTCACTGGAAAACTCGCGTGTACTTGGTTCAAGAGAGTCGATCAGCTTCCGATGAACGTTGGCGATCCACACTATGATCCTCTGTTCCTCTTTGGATTTGGCCTTACAACTCAGCCAGTGAATGGAAATTAACATGAAAACATGATTAATTGAAGTTATTTTTTAAGAAAAGCTTCATATGATTAAGAGCTCTTGGTCAGACTAGCAAGCAAAACAAGAAAAAGAGGAACTTATCAATTTGTTTCAACATATTGTAAAAGCAGCCAGTATCTTGTTATTTTTCTTATACATTGTTGTAAATACCACTATATGCATATAATTGTATTGAGCTTGCTGAGGTTCATCACATAAGTAATATGAATATCTAATATATTTATTTATGCACATGGTGGTTTGTAGATATTCGAAATGGACAAGGCAGCACGTCAAACTAAGCATCCTGCATTCACATAGAGATGAATATCCAACATATTTATTTACGCACATGGTGCAGTTTTGTAGTTATTCATAATGGATAGAGCAGCCCGGTAAACTAAGCATCCTGCATTCACGGAAGGATGGATATCTGATATATATTTGTTTATGTACATAGTGGTTTTGTAGTTATTCGTAATGAGCAGGGCAGCCCGGTAAAGTAAGCATCATATATTCGTACAGGGATGGATATCTAATATATTGATTTATGTACATAGTGGTATGTACTTATTCGTAATGGACAGGATAGCCTAGTGCACAAAGCATTCCGCATTCACGTAGCGTCCGGGGAAGAGCAAACACCCCAACAGATATAATGTTGCGTTTAAAGTTGAAAGAACTGGCAAGGTCATGACTCTATGAAATCAAGAAGAATTATAATAAATGGAACCAAACAATCAAAACAATAACAATATGGAACCAAATATTTAAAATATCTAGAAAGGAGATCCCTACACAGAGTGGCCAAACAATTAAAATTACATTGAACAGAAAGAATACTCACTCCTTTTAATTTATATGACATTCTTTTATTTTGGGACATTCCAAAATATTTGACACCATTGTATCTCTGTAACAACTTTCACAATTTGTTAAACTGATAGTACTTTTAACGTAAATGCCATGTTTTCTTTCTTTTCAGCCTCTACTGTAAATCTAGCTTTCAAAAAAAATTCGTCAAATTAAATTACAAGAGGAGTTTATGTATTTTTATAGAAGAGTAAAAGTTTTGAATGGCTGTATGAGAACCTATTATCCTAGAAAAGTCATGTAAACCTCGTTAATTAGTAATATGAGTATCCTTTTTACCAATAAAAGAGAGAGTAAAAAAGTCTTTATATGTGAGCACTCAAGGGAACAAGGCAGTGGCGAATGCAGGATCTCCACGAAGCGGGTTCAAATTTTTTTTTTTTGTGTAGCTAGTGGGAATTGAACCTATGACCTTATGAAGGTTTTGAACCCCCTTAACCACTAAACTACACTTTTGGGTTGAAAACTTAATATATAGAGGTAAAAAACAGACTTTGCCTTATATATATAGTGTAATTTTTTGGTGAAGGGGGTTCGGGTGAACCCCCTTCCGCCCCCTAGAACAACGTATATTTACTTCTTTTCTTTTAAACAACATCGGTATCACCTTAAATTTACAAATTTCCCAATATTTGGTATCCGTATTTGAATCTGAGAAATTTGAATTCGTGTTGCTTGAAGTTCATCAAAAGCAAGAACACTCCATATCAAGAATTTTTTTATTTTCGGGACTCGAATCCGGCCTTTGATTAAGAACAGCTCACTATTATTCATTATTAGATGTTTGAAGGTAGACCTTAAAGTCTAAAGGTTTCAGGTCGAGCGAGACTAAAATAAAATACTTGGAGTGCAAGTTTAGTGACGTGACTTAGGAGGTCGACATGGAAGTGAGGCTGGAAATACAAGTCATTCCTAAGAGAGAAAGTTTCAAGTAACTACGGTCTATAATCCAAGGTAATGAGGAGACTGGCGATGATGTCACACATCGTATTGGAGCAGGATGGATGAAAATGGAGGCTTACATTCGGCGTCTTGTGTGACAAATGTGCTACCAAGATTTAAAGATAAGTTCTACAGAGTAGTTATTGGACAGACTATATTGTATGGGATGGAGTGTTAGCCAGTGAAGACCTCTCATGTTCAAAAGATGTAAGTAGCGAAAATGAGGATGTTGAGATGGATGTGTCGACATACTAGGAGGGATATGCTTAGAAACGAAGATATTTGGGACAACGGGGGAGTGGCCTGTGTGGTGGATAAGATGCAGGAAGCGAGGCTGAGATGGTTGGGACATGTGAAGAGAAGAGGCACAAATGCCCGAGTGAGCAGGTGTGAGAGGTTAGTGATGGTAGGTCCGATAAGAGGTATGCTTAAGAAGTATTGGGAAGAGGTGAACAGGCAGGACATGACACATCTTAAGCTTACTGAGGACATGACTCTTGATAGAAGGATGTGAAGGACGCGTATTATGGTATTAGGTTAGTAGGTTGTCGAGCGTATTTCTTTTTCATACATATATTTCTTTTCCATATTTGCAGTACTAGTGTTATTCTCGTATTTCATATTCTTAGAATTCTGTTACTACCTATTGTTTCTCTTGCTTTGTTTATTTTTTGGCTGCAATTATTTCTTCTCTTCTCATAACTTCTCCAGCAGCATATTTCCTTTTCATTTCATAACTGATATGATTATGCTTTTCTCTCTACCTTCACAAGGTATGAATAAGATTTGCGTACACATTATCCTTTCCATACTCAACTTGTGGAACTACAATGGATGTGTTTTTGGTTTATCATCTGCAAATCCTCGTCTTTCCTATGAATTAATAATATTAGGATATTTGTGTAGGTTAAGACCAAACCAGCCGTCTTAGCTCAGCGGTAGAGCGCGTGGCTTTTAACCACGTGGTCGTGGGTTCGATCCCCACAGACGGCGATCTATCATTGGTTGCTTTATCTTTTTTGTATTTCTTTTCATTTGGAAAGTCTATATCTTAATGCTACAGCGGAAATAAAATCGGAACTTTTGGGAAAATGTTTTTTTTCTGAAGCTTTTTTTTTTCTTTTGTGCAAAAATGAATTTGAGATTTTTCTTTAAAAATAAATTTTTATTTTTTACAAAAACAACTCAAACAAACAGAATTACAATAGTCAAAAATTGTACTTGCAAGCTACGTCTAAGGCGGGCAACTATCGTATTATAAAAACATTAAAAAAAAAAAAAAAAACATGACTTTTTGATCTTTCCTTTAAGTTTTCTAGTGTCAGTGTAAGACAATTAATTTATACAGGAATGATCCAAGAAAAGGTTATTATTCATATACGTCTAATTGATTGTATATATTAAAGGGAAACTGCCACTTACTGCAATATATATGAGAGATTTCATAAGAATATTTTAAAAAATAAAAATAATTAAATTAAGTGCATACATTCCTAGAAAGCTTCATCAAAATAAGTTAGATGGATCAGTTCTCAAGCTCTAAGGGCTTGAAATATTTCCCATCAATAAGATAAGTGCCAATGCTGAGACGAACTGCCCACACATCCATAGGCTTCCTTGAAACTATCCTGCATTTTAATTCAATTTTACTTAATTTAAATAAAATTCTAAAATAATAATAAACAGTATGTCTCCAAAGGAATAATAAGTGGTAAATTCAAAATTTAGAATCACTGAGTTCTACTCTTTATATATACCGAGTTAGACACAGAAAAATTATTTTTGTGTAACTTATATGTCACGGGGTCAAGCCATTGAAGTAGCGATTAATTAATGCTTGCATTATGGTAGACTGTTTATATCATATCCTTTGGGGTGCGATCCTTCCCCGAATCTTGCATGTACGCGAGATGTTTTATGCACCGAGCTATCTTTTTTTGAGTCTTATTTCTTGGACTTGGAAAAATTATAATTGTAGGACGAAAATTCAAAAAAAAAGGTAACATTTTTTTAATCACAATTCCATGTAACACTGTGAAAAGAAAAGGTAATATAGCATTTTTTTTCAGGGCTACCATTTAGTACTTTCTGCATTAAAACTCACTTTTCCTACTAAAAATTTCAAATTTCCTGATCTTCTTAATCCATTTTCGGAATATTTGCTGATTTTACTTATCCTGGATCATCTTTTTCAATAATCTATTTCTGTAGCATAAGTTTCCTTAGATAATTCACATAAAGGAAATCAAATGCACGGAAATACAAACATAACAATGTACATAGGGTATGAAAAATACAATAATATAATTTATTTATTTTAAACATTTTAGTCACCTTACAACCAATTATAAGTGACTATCCATAAATAATAGATTTAGTAACCTAAGAAATAAGACAAATAACTTTTTATAACAGGTTAAATGTTTAATTGTGTGAAAATTTATTTATCCTAGAGCATCTTTTCGAAAACTTTCAATTCATGTTGCGTAAGTTTTCCTTAGATAATTCACACAAAAGAAATCATGCATGAAAATACAAACATAACAATGTACATAGGCTATACAAATGCAATTATATAACATATTTTATACTATCAGGTCACCTTACAAGCAATTATATCCATAAATAATAGATTTAGTAACCTAAGAAATAAAACAAATAAATTTTATAACATATTAAATTGCTTTAATTATAAGAATTTATTTACGCTGTTAGTGTGTATATATACATATATATATATATATAAAAGTAAGAAAAATTACCAACAAGGGTTGTGGTGGAGTGGTAAGTACTTTTTCATCCTTAACCAGAGGTCTCGAGTTCGAGCCCCTGGGTATGGAGTCGTCTTTGTTAGGGAGCGCTTTACCCCCCCCCCCCCCCCC